TGCCTTGTAAAACATTTTTATTATAATATTATCATTCATTTATTTTACCTAATTTAATCTTAACTAACCTAAAAGGATCCCTATTTTTACAAAATGTTTTTTAACTTTTATAATTAGACATAAAGAATAAACATAAAAAACAACAAATAAAATACATAACCAATCTTCTTTTTCTTGCCCTCGATTGTCGAGGAGAGTTACCCCTAAACTTTTTATACTAATAATAGTAATGCACTTAATTTTTATTCAATTAAATAATGCACCAAAGAATACAGACTAATAACATGCAAAAAGTAGACAAACTCCCTTACATCTCAAAATTTTTCTAGCTTTCTACTATGCAATAAGAGACTTTACAAATTCATCCAGGCTAGTCGTTAACTTTCTTACGGGAATACTGTTGGTGTTCTGAGTGAAATTGACATTTACCCTTCAGAACATAACATTATACAATACATCATTTTATAGATGAAAACCTTGACTTTCTATTGGTTATAGGTAATAAATAATTAAACGTAGGAGAAAACTATTAACAAATTCTGAAAAAGAGGATGCGACATGTAGGCATGGCAGGAGGGATCTGATTTTCTATTTGATAGCTCTGTAACCAAACAAAATTGAAGACTATAAAAATTATCATTTGTCTAAGCAATGACGATTTTATAGAGAGTAATTTACATTTAATTTCGTACTTTTTCAAGGGGTGGTGGATAAAATAGGGAAGATGATGTGCTAAAAGAAAATGTGTCACACTAGGGGAAATTAAGAATTTTTTAAAATATTCCTTTGTAGAATTAAAACTTATATACTATTAAAAATATGGATTATTATCTAAGATTTAATACTATACTAAATGGTATAACATAAACAAAAGGTAGTTTAATAAAATTTTGAATGTAAGACATTAAAACCTTGTGTCATGTGCAGTAAAGAATACCATGGCGATAGGGTTAAAGCAAATAACCACAGTTACTGAATGCCTTAACAAGGCATACTATTTTTCTTAACATTAGTTTCATTAACAGCAATGGTTATAATTTTTAGTATATCTAGTTTTATTTTTTGAATTTTGTACTATTATGCTTTTTTTTTATAGAAATTGTTTTGCATTGGTATCTTAGTATGTGGTTTTAAGACAAACCTAAATCTCCTAAGCAGGCTGAGCCTTGTGAGATATTACTGGGTTTATGGCCAAAAATATTTTTATCAGTGACAGTACTAAACTGACAAAACAATGCATTTTAATCTGTGTAAGATAGAACATAAGAAAGGAATATTTATTAAGCTATACTCTATATGAGGTTGATTATTTGTTTTGCTCTAAATAAATAGGTTGCTCTGATCAGAAGGTATTATTAATAGTTACTGAATGTATTACCAAGAGATATTATATAATTCAAGAGAAATCACAAATCATTGTGACTGGACTTCATAAAGTTCTAGGTTCATTAAAAATTAAAAAAACAAAAGAAAAACTAGTTGTTATGTTAGAGCTCAAATACTTTAAACCAAAAAACATGTATACATATATATATATATCTTTACAAGTAATTGTTTTTATTCATATATATATATATCTTTACAAGTAATTGTTTTTATTCTCATAAATCTAAACTGATAAAATACCTTGTTTTTTCTTCCATCAATTTCAAAAAAAGAAAACTGGTCTTTCCTATATATTTCATTTCCTGGTGGATGTCTTAAATTGCATTTGGTCTAGAGAAAAATAATATACGATGGTTAACCCTTTCCTTCCTCGTGTTCAAATTTCGAGAAGCGTTACCACTGGCTAAATTTTAAAAACCTTATATATTTTGGTATGTTTTACCGAAAGATAATTTGAGTTGGTATTATTAATAAATCAATTTACTAAAATTAAATTTCTGTTCAGCAACATATATATATATATTTTAAATAAAAACATAATGCAACATGTGTAGGTTTGGATGAGTTGAGCAACATCGAACTACTTATTTTCAATCTTAACTGCACCTTATGAACAAACAAGCTAAAAGACAAGGACGGAAAACCCCAAAGTTCTGATGCAACCATCTTTAATTTATAGCTACCGACCAGAGAAAGGCATCTAGTCAGCAGCATCTGATGGCAACTCTTAACTTATAATAGTAGAATTAGCTGTAAAAATTATAATGTCTCCACAACTGAATGTGTGGCAAATTTTGAGGATGAACCTTGGAGAGTCTGATTTACAACTTGGCACTAGGCCACACATAGCTCTTAAAACATAAACAGAAGTATTTATTGAATACTACAACATAAGTTTATGTAACAATTAAATATTACACCTTATCCTTTTCATTCCAATGACCTCGCACAGAATATTCCTTGGACTGTAAGCTAATGCAACTATTAAAGTAATGAGAAAGGAAGTAATTGGCTTTAGGATGAACTTTTACAAATAAAGTAAACAAAATATGCAATAAAATAATAACTACTGATAAATAATAATGAAAAAAGAGATTAATAATTTCTGGGCTATTTCAAATTAAACTTCCACTTCACATCTAACAATTGCTCCATGTTAATAATTTTGAAATGTTCAAAAAGGCCAATAAGAAAACTTACAATCAGGGCTTTAAGACACCCACGTCATGCATCTAGTTTTATAGCTGCTAAGCAATAAGCAAAATCAGTTTAATTTTACAATTTTGACACACCCAAAATAAAATAACACTTTTTGAACTTTCTGAGAAAAATACTAAAAAAATTGAATGAAATTTACAGTTATATCTTTATTTTTAACTTTGTTTAACACAAACTGGAGTTCATTATGAGACATTTCTATAAAGGTAAATAAAATAATGACCTATATCTCCAGAATGTATTTTTATTAGCTCAATATTTTGCTATTAATAGCAAAATATTGAGCTACTAAAGACACATTCTGGATATATAGGTCATTATTTTACTTACTTTAATAGAATTACAGCTTTGTTTCTTCCGTTCAAAAGTTTTATCTACATAAGATGAGAAGTGAAACTAATCCTGCACTAAATTTTGGGACTGGGGATGAAGCAGTAGAAATGAAGCTTAGAACCTGCAATATCTTGTAAAGCAATTTAATGAAAAATGAGTAACCACAAAAGTAACAGGAAAATTAAACTGAATATCTACACGTTTAGTTGTTGGTTTTATTTTACTTATGGTAAGAGATTCAATTTGCAGGATGAATCAAAATTTCATGTTGCAAATTGACACTTTAAACATTTGTTCCAGACTAAAACTTTTGGTTTTCATTACTGAACATTTTCTACAAACTTTGGTGCTTTTGTGTCTTCTGTATTGAAAACTTTCACTATCTCTATTTTGTCTCACTGGTAAGTAGATGCAAATGAGCTAGCAGAAATTCAATTTTTTAACTTTACTTTTAAGAATGAAAGAAGACAAATATATCAAAACATATAAGATATACAGATTTGAAATTCTAATGCTTTGGAAAAAATGGTATACATTTTAATAACTGGTGAGAAATATAAATATGTAAAATTAATTGTCTGATACTTACTAAATGTCGCTGAAGACATTTTATTGATTTTACATACTTCAAACAATATTCACAAAGATAGATACACGAAAGGCTGACTAGCTCCTGAAAAAAATCATAAATAAACCTTTAGTGAACTGTAGTTCGAATGACATACTAAATCAAATAGCAGATATATTTTTATTTCCAACTATTGTCTCAGAAATAAAACCTAAAGGGTTTGTTAACAGTTAAAACATGTGACTGTAATGTACATTTATACATAGATGGTTTTAGATAAAAAATATTATGAATGAAACACTCGGTACAATTACCTCAACTGTCATAAAAATGTTTCAAAAAGTATCAGAAATTGGTGTATAAAACAATTGTATTTTTTAAATTTAGTTCAAAACATCGAGGTGATAAAAAATATTTATAAATAATACAAAAGCAGAACTGTGATTTTCCTGAGTTTATTACCTGAGGGTATGGTGAGAAGTACCAGGGTTTAATCCTGTAACGTCCTAGTTCAATCATATCAATGTTCTTCATTCGAGTCAGAAGGTCATCATGATGTGCTACTAAGCTGCCAGTTGTGCGAGGTGCCAACATAGAATCTTGAGAATCCTTAAAACAAAGTGAGAACAAATATCTGGCAATAATGTCTTAGTTCTGTCAGTGTTTATAAAAACAATGTATTTATCAAACTACAAGTTTCTTTTATCATTTTTAAATAAAGTACTTCAAACCATTCTCAAAGACAGTGGACAAAATATCCGGGTTCGCATTGCAATTTGTGAATCAAAACAATTTTTGTGGCTTTCTAACTATGCGACAAGAGCTGTTATAAATTTATCAAAGCTAGTCATTATCTTTCCCGTGGGAACTGAGCTTGTACTACAAGTGAAATTGACGATTATCTGTTCAGAACACACGTAATATAATGTAATTTTATAGATGAAAAACCTTGGCTTTCTATTGGTTATAGATGATATATAATTAAACGCAAGAGAGAACTATTAACAAATCCTGAAAGAGAGAATGTGATTGGTGGGTGTGGCAAGAGGAGTCTGATTTTGTATCTGATAGCTCTGTAACCAGACAAAATTAAAGCCCATAAAAATTATGGTTTGTCTGAGCAATGACAATTTTATAGTGAGTAATTTATGTTTAATTTTGTAGTTATTGGAGGGTGGTGGATAAAACAAAGAAGAGGATATACCTAGAGAAAATGTGTCGTGTGTCACACTAGGTGAAATTCAGGAATTTTTCAAATATTGCCTTATAAAATAAAGAACTTAAAACTTATATACTATTAAAATATGGATTATTAGCTACGATTTTATGCTATACTAATTGGCATAACAAAAAAAAAGTAGTTTAATAAAATTTTAAGGTAAGATACTAAAACCTTGTGTCATGCACAGTAAGGGATACCAGTGGAGATAGGGTTAGTCATGTGAGAAAACTTTGTACTTGTCAACTTACAGGCACGGTGTATCTAAATCTTAATCACACTGTAGTAAAAAAAGTACTGATAAAAAACTGTTCAAATTAAACTAAAATATAATGAAACATTGAAAATTAAATTTATTTACGATCCTTGGTTTTGCTGTTGCGTTCAAGGTTTTTACATTTTTATTATATAGTGGCTACAGACTCACAAAAGCGAACATCAAATACTGAAGGGGAAAGATGCACTGAAATATCCCCGAGATGATTGATACATAATATTTCATTCAAGTTATTTTAAGATCTTAATTAAAGCCAATGATAAACATAACACTCGGTCAAAAAACAAAGACAACACCTTATTCAAATAAGCTCAGATGCCAAATTTATTACTTATACTGTAAAAAAGAAGTTATATATAAATCAAGTCTATTTAAATTATTTTTTTAAACATTTGTTTGAGCTGAAGCTAAATATTTCCATACTACACAAACTAATTAAAAAGATTCATTCATTTGTACACAGCATTCACCTGGTGATGAAAAAACTTCTATTAAATATTAAAAAATATGATACACACATTTTATTATAAGCTAATGGAATATACAGTTTTAACCAAGATTTAAAAGAGCTTAATGTAAAATCCCAGAAGAAAAATCATTTGATAAACATGGAAAAATTACATCTTTAGCACAAACAATGAAGAAATATCTTCCATTATGGGGAGAAAAAATGCTGTAGTGTACAGTTTTTTTGTATCTGCAATTTCAAAACATATAAGACTAATGCCAATAGTTTCAAATTTCAGGTTCTCAGCTTCACTACTGTGACTTTATAAAAATACCAATAGAGATGGCTACAGGTCCAGACACATTTCCTGCGACACATAGTAGAAAAAATGTCAGTGTTGTAAAATAATCTAACTAGTAACACCTCTTGCATATACAAAAAACTGTACGGTTCTTTTAAAATTAATTTTACTGCTTTTTATTGTGGAACACTGTGGTATCTTACCAAAAACTACTTACTTTTGTAGATATTTTGACACGCATGTTCTTCATTCCAGTCACATGTTCTTCATGGTGTACTGGTACTGTGCAAGTTGGCCGAGTTCCAAATGAAGAATCTTGAGAATCCTTAACATAAGTTTCATTATCATAAAAATATCATATCATATTAACTGAACAAGATATAACATTCAAGGAACAATCATGAAAGAAATGTCTGTACATAAATTAAACACTACTGTTTTACACTGCACAAACCAATTAGGGGATAGTCAGAATTTGCAAAAATGTTTTATACAATGATGTCAGTCATCACTCTCAATTTGCTGTTATGCAAATTAAGTATTTGATGATTAATCATGATCTAAAATGCCAATACAAATTCAGTTGATGCTATATATATATATATATATATACACACACACACACACACACATATACACAATGGTCTTAATTGTCATCTTGAAGAGAATCATAGATAGTGTAATGAACCACAGCTAAACATCAAAGAAGAAATTTAGACTTTCCATTCTTGTGGAAGACCCATCAGGAAAATGAAAGCCATCCAATCACAAACAGGCTGTTAAATGTAGGCTACAAATGTTTCAGGATGTCATTAGTAGTCAAAAACCACTTCTAGATCAATCAGGGTAGTCAAAAATACCTCAGTCATGATGCATTATATCCTACCAAAGAACTAAATACTCTAAACAAGGCCTTGAAAAATCCCAGGTGCCAGGTTGCCATCATGACTAAAAAGGTCAGCATGGCACCTAGTGTTTTTTCCCATTTTATTTGTGTGTAGGGCTGTGCTAAATAGGACTTGAATCTAGAACAGTTCTGAACTCTTGGAAGTCCAGAATTATTTTCGTGTTCTTAGAGTCCTAAATCAAACTTTGTTTCTAGGATTTTAATGGTGAATTCAGCACTTCATGTTTTTTTCAGGAATGAAATGCTGTGGTTGCACAACACGTTACTAATTTCACACCATTTTGTCTTTTTTTCAATTCAACCAATTATTGCACACATTTAGACTCAGGTGGGACCAAAGGCTGTTAGTTTAGGGAATACTATCAAGTGGTTGTTGATATCATGTGATCGTTAGCATGTACTCATTGCTGTGAAAGTAAATAAATACACACTGGTGCCTCGATTATCCATGATGGTCTGGGGAAAGCAAAAAAATCACAAATAACAGAAACAGCAGATAATTGAGGCACTAGTGTGTCTCACTAGACAGCCCATTGTTTAATTGAAATAAAATTTTTTAATATATTTAAGTTCCTTGATTTAAATTGTAATCTTTTTTACCATCATTTAATCACATTATCATGAAAAATTATAAAAGGGTCATAATCATAATCATAAAAGCCAAGTGTCGGTCAGTCATGCACGATTTCTCTGTATTTGTTGGGATACACAAGTCCAATTCCACTTTTTCTCCTATAATACTTCCTCTTTTGATTGCCCGTTCCCACTTTAATTGAATTTAATCGTTAACATAGGTGTAAATAGCTCCTAAATTTCAGCACTATTTCTGCTATAGACACGTAAGTGCATTTGCACCCCCTATCAAGCGTGTGAAAAATAAGTCAAAAATTAGCAAAGTCTATGTTTGGGAACTATTATGAAAAAGCCTTTGTTAAAACAGACTGAAGATACCAGCTATCTGTAGGGAAGAGAACAATGTGTAACTGGGCGACACCCCAACACAACATGAACATGAATCTGTGGTTAAAGGACAGGTTCTTCTTATTTCATAAAAAACCTAATAATTTGTCTTCAAAATAATTTTTTTATTTACTTACATACCTCATCAGTAGTAGGAAACTTCCTTTTTCTTGACCCAGTGGTTTTCTTTGGAGGAGCAATGCCATTCTAAAGTGAAATAAACCTTTATAAGAGGTAAACAAGAACTTATGTTTATTGATAAAAACAGCTCCAGAAAAGTTATAATTGATCTAAAATCTCATAAAAATATAAACATTACAGTAATTTTATACAAGCTGTCTCAAAAGTTAATATCAAAAATTCCAATGAAATAAGTTTTATACAGAAACTCACAACCAGTTCACGTTCGGGTGAAGAAGGCCGAGAACCATTTTTTCCATCTTTAACTGGAGTTTTCACTTCTGCCTTTGGTTGCTGTACTTTTCTCAAATCAAGTCGATCGGGAGTTACCCATTCATCCAATCGTTTATTATCTTAAGAAAAAATTTTAAAACAATACAAATAATTTATACAATAGTTCTGCTTTAGAAAATACTTTCAGAACTAACCATCTTGGACATTTTCCATACCAATGTATCAAAAGAAAATCTGTACTCACTTTCCCCCTTACACGATATATATATATAACCTGAAATTTTTTTACTCTGTTTTTCACTTCAGTTCAAAACATATGAGACTATCTTTAAACAAAGCTGTTGGTATCTATTATGAAAACAAACTGAAAACTAGAATTTAATAAAAGCTTTCTAAAATGGTTTCAGAAAGGATCTTCCTTACACACCAACTTGTTTTACAAAGGGATCTGAGTTTTTAGATGTCTGTTTGAAGTTAAGCACAAAGCTACACAATGGGCTATCTGTGCTCTGCCCACCATGAGTATCGAAACCTGATTTCTAGTGTTGTAAGTCCGCAGACATACCGTTGTGCCATTGGGGGGCTTTTTGATGTCAGCACATGGTTACTGTGTGTATTGTATTTCAGGTGACTTTTGATAGCTCATTTTGTTTGATGAGTTTCAAACAAAGTTATCTGAGGGCTCTCAGTCCCTAATCTTAAAGTGATAAACAAGAGGAAAGGCAGCTAGTCAAGCCAACAAATAGTGGGATTGGCCATTCACATTATAATGCCCCCATGGCTGAAAGGGCAAGCATGTTCTGTGACAGGTTTTGATCCCAAGACTACTTGGATCTACTTGTAAACATTTTTAATTTAAGAGTCTGTGGGTTATAATTTCCTCTTAAATATATCGAATGAGGTCTACATTTTAATCTTGTAATCTCTTTTGTTAATATGATAAGACACTGACATTTTGGAAATGATGCAAGGAAGTACTGGTAAAATGCCTGAAATAAAGGAGTTAATCAATGAAAAAAACAGAATAAAACATTTGAGTTTTTGTCTCTGTATGGTGTGTTGGAGAATTAAAAGTAACTGATTCACATGTTCAAAATTCTTTAGAACATAAACTGAATGTTGGAGGTTTTTGGAGCAGTAGAATTATGAGGTTGGACGTATGAGCTTTAATGTTGGAGCTTCAGAAATCTAGGTGTGAACACTTGTTTTATAAAAATAGCTAAGACACTACTGCACATTTACAAGGATTAAACATAATATCATACAATTTCTTTTATTAATAAAATAAAATTTTAAAAACTTACAATCAATGTAGTGTACATAATATGAAGCTTCTGAATTGCTGGTGCCTTCCTTAATACTCAGAATTTCTGCAAGAGCTAAAATACACAGCTGTGTTATTCAATTGGCTAGTAATTGCTAATAAGTATTATGTCTTGAAATGTTAGATATTTCAGTTTTTAATGTTAAATATATGCTGACAGTAATGATAATAGCATGTATTAATAAAATTAGGAAGTTCAGGTTCTTACTTATTGTTCATTGTTTTACAAACAATATAAAATATTGAAATTTTAATTTACTTGCAACATCTTAGTAATGTATTTTCACCTATAACAGTATTACTCCTATTACACATATGAACATTCCTTGATGAAACTTGTATTATTAGAAATCTCTGTCTTATTCAACTTATTGTACGTATCCCTTTACGTTAGTATCCTTGTCATCTACTCTCCGAGGTATACATCAATGTACTAGACTCAAAAATAATTTCTTACAAGTAGTGTACAATCCTGATACAAGACAGATTTCATAATGGTTTAATATTATTGCTAATTATAACATTATTAAACAATATGACCTTGTTAACTTTTTTCTAACATTAGAATAAAAGGGGACAGTTAAAAGTCATTAAGCAATTAATTTGGTATACACAGATATACGCTAATGTCTATTCAACTGTAATTACTGAAAACAAATCTAATGGATACATCACTTCATATATACAGCTAAAAAATCTAAAAATAACCATACTCCCTAAAATGTATACATTTTCTCTATACTAAAACTTAACTGTGGAATATGTGCAAAACATACAATTTGGATGCCTTGAAGCTGTGATTACTTTTGTGAAAACAATCTGCCTAAAATTCTGTACAGATTATGTATGAAAAATCTGTCTATCTTTACATGAGTAATGTTGTATGTCTTTGTACACAAACACTTCTCTAAATATTCTAATATTTGTTACTTACGCCAATCATCCGTATTCTTCATACGTACAGGTAAACGACATCCTTCTGCTAGCTGACTCTGTCCAAAAAGTGGAAAAAAGTTTCAATGTACACGAGTTTTATTTGAAAAACAAATGTACGTATGTTTGCTTAATGACAGAAAATAAAAAAGAGAACAGGTAACAGAAGGCCAGTTGGCACAACAAAATCACCAATAAACATTCACTTGTGTTTTGCTTCTCAGTGTAGAGAATAAAGAGATAAATCAGTGGCTAGTCAAATAATACATCTAGCCATTTTCATAACTAGTTTCAGTTCATTTTTCAATGAACACTTATTAATAAAGTGGTTAATTGCAGATTTAAAAAAAAAACTATTGAATTTTGACATGTCAGTGTTATTATTTGTAAGTATTTAATGAGGTAATGCTTAACTGATAATCGGCTTTCAAATTACCAATTTTTTTCATATCATTTACTACCAGTGGATTTCACATATTGCATCATATTGAGCATTTTTATGTTTTTGCCTGCAGGGCGGTAGGAAGCGGTAAGGCCAGTCAGGCCATGGCCTGACTGCTTTTTCATGGCATGTACAAATACATCTTATGTATTAAAACTTGCTTTTTAAAATTCAATACATTATGTTGTAAAAGCCTCAATCCCATAGCACTAAATTTTCAAACATTTTCTGGGCAGCATCACTCATTTACTATGAGACATACACAGTATGGAGGTAGTTACTGGAACTTTAACATTTATATTTTCGTTTCAATTTTTTTTTGTGTGACTCATACGTAACCAATGAAGTCAAAGACTTCCAAACAATATGGTACATAAATGATTTAGTCTTTAAAAGTCACTTGGATCCAGCCATACATGTAATTCTAGTGTTAATTACTAGATGGGGATGGTTATCTTCAAAAAGATAATGAAATATTATTTGAAATTTTCTTAAAATTTGCAGAAAATAATTGAAAGCAATTATTAATCTAGCCAGATATTTGTTTAATATTATTACTATTAGTGGGATAGTACAAATTTTAAATGCTTACTATATTTTGATGCTGTAACATATTTAACTTTTAAAATATTTTAAATGATTAAGACTTTCAAGTACATTAGCATGACAAACACTATAGTTTTCACTGGTGTCAAATGCCATTAACTTGATAATTAAGACTTCTCTAAAACTAGTAGTCTATATATTATAATGTAGTACTATTTTACCAGAACAAGCTAAACGTTTTGTTTCAGTTAATCTTAACGTTTTAGAGAATTAAAATTAATGTTTGTCATTGTGTCAACAAATAACTGTAACTTGTAAGTGACTATGTAGGAAAGTTATAAACATAACTATAACTTGTCTTAAGTATCATATTCAATTTCATAAGAATCATGATTCATAATAACTAAATAAGAAAGAGAAGTAACTCTAATATCATGCACTGATGCAGTATGTCTTAAAAGTTACAAAAAAAATACCAAAATGTAATTTCATGGTGCAATTTTTCAATTCTAACTCACTTAAAGCCATCTCATAATGTCAATGCTGAACCGCCCGAATATGATGACAAGATTGGTATTGAGTTGTTTCATATTTCATAATATAATAACAGTATAATACAAATAAACACATTTCAGCCATCTTAACATAAACTCGCATTTACCGCGTGTTAGATTGGTTACAGACAGCGCCACCAGCGGCAAGTATATCGTAACAGCCGCCATTTTGAAAGTTTCTACGCACAGAATGATTTGGTACAAACTGAAAAATAGCTTAAGGTACATGCGATTTTTCTGCTCAACGAAATACTTATTATTATTACATGAAGCGTCCAATAACTAAAAATAGCTACCGAACTGGAAGGTTCTTCCCATTCACACGGATCCTCAACGTTCTCCTCCGTCATCTCAAATCGTCGTGTTACCTAAGCTACTTATTTGTGATTGGCTAAAAGAATATAAATTTTTTTGCGTTTTTCCTTACTTAGTTATATCAAAATCGTATTAATTAAAATGCATCATTTATTTTCAAACCGATACATAAACACTAACAAATGATGAGAAGTAAATGCAAAATAATAAAATTATATAAAAAAGTTGCGCTGACCTCTCGTGGTTAGAAAGAACAAATATAATAAAAAAAAGTTATTTTATAAAGACAAGTAGGGATCGATATATTCGTAATCTAGCTAGCTGTAGTAATATAGACAGTTTTAATGCTACAAAAAGTATTGAAACAAGAAAGTTAAAACTACAAAAACTGAGTTACTTGAAATGTTAAAAAATATCTCTTCTATGGCAAATCACTATAATTATGTTAGACTGAGCCAAAGTAAGGATAACTAGGTGTGACTCATTACACAATGACGCTGTTCTAGGTTTGACACCCATAACTCCAGATCGTGTAATTAAGACAAAATCATGCTTTCATTCCAGTAAATGTCTAGTTTCCAAACATATAAAAATTACGAAATGATAATCATATTGACACAAAATTGATTTGATAAAACGTTTTAAATAATGAATATCATTTTAAAAATACAACAGATTATCAACATGTTATCTTCTCGTCATCAAATTCTAGTCGAGATAATCGGAATTTATAATTTGAAATTGCGACACAATTTCAATTCACACCGTAGATAACAGGAGCTTAATAATATTATTTCAGCTTATTAAACATGATAGATAAGAGTACAAAACTGCATAATAGCAAGTAAAAGATCGAATCTAATTTAATAGTTAAACACTTGACATCGTCACAACTGAAACCAGAAATTTCTTTTTTTCTCAAAATCAGTGATCTTTGCTTAAAGCATTTTCTATTTAATCAAATACACCGTATGCTTATTTCAATATAAGGAACAGAGTAACCAATTCAAAAGTTGGTATGCTACTTTTAATTTTAACAAATCTAAAACTGCAACTTAAAATTTTATATTGAAAATTAAAATTTTAAATCAAACATTATTTTTATTCTTATTCTTATACTTTTTGGTAGAACACAATGTTATGAAGTGATATATTATTTTTTTAATAATACGAGAATAATTTATTAGAACAGTTTTTGTTGTATCTTCTAAAATAACGATATGCCTTCTGCATATTCGGAATTATTAAAAAATAATAATGGATTCAATAAATATATTGTTTATTTTTTTCATTTGGCTTGTACGGTTGTGATATACAGTTATCATGAATTCATACACACTCTGACAATAAATGTAGTGCCTTGTAAAATTATTCACCCCTAACAATAATGTCACATTTCGATTAATTACAAATAATGTAAACAATTTTTTAATGAAATTGTTTTTATTCAAAACTCTAATGGACAAACTTAATACTGCTATGTGTGGAGGTAGTTGAATGTCAGCAAAACCTGCAAAGATAATTTTTAAATTGAAATTCACTGATTGTACAAGTATTCAGTCCCCTAAATTAATACTTGGTGGAAGCACCTTTAACAGCAGTTACTGCTGTGAACCTTTTTGAATAGGTATCTACCTACTTTGCACAATGGAATGGTGTAATTTTTGCCCATTCTTTCTGGCATAAATGCTCCAATTTTAACAAGTTCGTTAGGGATCTTTGATGGACTGCAATCTTCAAGCCTTGACATATATTTTCTATTGAATTCAAGTAAGAACTTTGACTGGGCCACTCCAGAACATTCGCTTTCTTATTTTGAAACCACTCCAGTGTGGCTTTATCCTTGTGCTTTGGGTAAATGTCCTGCTGAAATGTGAATTTTCGACCCAGTTTTAGATTCTTGGCTGACTCAAGCAGGTTTTCATCAAGGATTCGCATTTACTTTGCACCATCCATCTTCCCTTCAATCCTGACAAGCTTTCCAGTCCCTACTGATGAGAAGCATCCCCATAACATGATGATGCCACTATCATGCTTGACAGTTGGGATAGATTGACTGGGCGATGTGCTGGACTTGCACTAGACATAACACTTTGAAGTTAGACCAAAAAAGCTAAATTTTTATCTCGTCTGACCATAAAACCTTTTGCCACATGTCTGCAATATAATTTACATGCTTTGTCTCAAATTACATATGAGATTTAAGATGATTATTTTTCAGTAATGGCTTCTTTCTTGCCACTCGCCCACACAGGCCAGCCTTGTGTAGGGACAGGGATATTGTCGATGTATGACCATTGACTCCCATCTCAGGCATGGAACTTTGCAAGTCTTGCAAAGTCACTGTTGGCTTCACAGTGGCATCCCTAACCAGTTTCCTACTTGCCTAGTTGCTTAGTTTGGAAGGGCAGCCTGATCTGGGTGGTGTGAAGCACATTCCACTTCTTAGTGATGGGCTTCACCGTATTCAAAAGGATAATCAGTGACTTTGAAATTTTTGTGTAATCTCCTTTTTATCTGTTCTTCTCTACTACTTTATCTTTGACTTGTTTGGAAAGCTTCCTGGTCTTCATGGTTAGTTTGTTGTGGCTTAAACAGATGCATTTACTCTGAAGTCAAGTTGCCTTAGCAAAGGGGTTGAATACCCATGCAATTGAAAATATTCTAATTTTCTATGAAAATTTCACTTACTTACATAATATCAGCGTTTTTTAGCTTTCTCAGTTTGGAGTAGATTGTGTAGATTCTAAATATAAAGTCCCACTTGAAAGTTTCGTGATTGCAAACTCAGACGGCAGCAAAATGTAAAAACTTTGCAGGGGGTGAATACTTTTGCAATGCACTGTATATATTTGTATTCACAGATTATATTTATTGTATTCTCAGCTAAAAGTCATTTCCGCACGAGTATTTGACAGATCCGCTTTATAATGAGAAAATCGACCAGGAAAGTTACAAAATAAATATTAATTTAGCTAAACGACTGAATTTTAAGCTGAGAAAATTAAAAGACTGGACATGTTATGTAAAGTGCAAAACAATCTTTATTAGTTAATCAAAGCAAAAAAATACAATTTGTATACTTGCGTAGACAATGGATTGTCACTTCCCATCGGATCTGTAAGTTGATCAACATTTGTCGTCGTTCAAAATCTTTTCCCATCGACTAACTCATGTTAAAAAATAAGTAGAAGTGTGTGAATCCAATGCTCTATATTTAACAGAAAACGTCTGATTTACCCACAATGACTAAACCACGTGACTAGTCGTTCTTATACAACATAGTGAAGGCCATAACCTCTAGATATTATCTATTCAGCCATTCAAAGACATTGCTGTCGTTAACCTGTTTTGTACAATGTGTGAAGTTGCAGCAATATGTTGGCGATCGCTCTCAATGGCTCAACAGTATGTTTGCGTACTTACGACGCTAAAAAACCGGGTTTTTCGATACTTGTGGTGGGCACAGAACACATAGACCATTGTGTAGCTTCAAGCTTAATTACAAACAAACAAACAAATGTCCGCTGGCTGAGGAGGTATCATCTACTAGAGAATAACAAAATAACAAAGGTAACTAAAATTAAAATAACTCAACGGCTTTCTGGGCCACGTGTTTACGCGAAAAGTGCGTAGAATTTTACTAAAGACTATTTTTTCGAACATTTCTACATTAATATAAGAAGGTAGACATTTTATGGTAAGCGTGCATACCCCACTTCTCATTACTTCTCAAGCCGAAGTTAAATTTAAGTTTAAAGCCAACCAATTTTAAACCTATAAGAGGATCAAGACTCACGTTTTCTTTCACACGTTCCTACAGACGGTTAAACTTCATATGGACGACAACCCTTAAACAAAGAACTACACTCAAATACCTAAAGAGAAAATACTTTAACAAAGGAAAAATGTAACATACTACATAATGAAAAGTACAGTACGAATAATATACATAAATAAATTATGACCCTTGAACAATAATTGAAAATTTACACATTGGTAGGAACACCGTTGAAATACAAATGCTAATTTTGGAACAAAATATTACCCAATGCAATATGAATAAAATGAAAAACCTTTAAAAAAATTCATTTAATATTTAAGTGCAAAATATACGTAAATATAAAAAAGAAATATAATAAAAAAAATTTAAAAGGCTTAAATATGCACACGGACCTAAACACACACATATTGACAAAAATTTTTTAGTAAAGAAATCTACCTGTAGTTTTGTAAATTAAATCCTATTTTAAAAAGTCAATATTATTTTTTTCAGGGATAACTTAATTTAAGGTGTTGGTATAAGGAGAAGTGACTTTTCCAGCTAGAGAAAAAAAAAGAGAGAGAAGAAAGCAGACGGACTCAGAACCACCCTCTGACATCACCTACAGGTACAACAACTGTGACAGAATCTGAAAGTCTCGCATCGTACTCTTCAACAATACGAGAAGTTGCATCTCTGCAATATATATATATAAGCTGCAATTTTCGCTGTCTCTCGCATAGGATGAAGAGAAGCAAACGTTTCTGAACACATCGGGTTGTTTTTCAGGCCCCAAAATCATTTTTGAAGCTTGAAAGATTTTTAAACCCAAATTCCTGCCAAAACGTGATTTGATTGCTGTCTCTCGCAGACGAACGGATGCTAAAAAACACTATATGGTAACACAGGCGAGATGATTTTTTTTCTGTCAGTAAGCAAATACTTTTTCATTTTCTGCTATTACACAGATATTATCATTATAGTTACACTAAAATGTTTTCATTAATTAACATGATTTTTTCCCTAACGGTATAAACAAACTGTCACATTTCTTCTTAAAATCTATTTCCAAGTTGTTCTATTCTTTAACGCATATGTTTCAGATAAACTTCAAATATTATAATATTATTATTATTATCATATTATTATTATATTATCAAAGTGACTCTTCAAAATGGAAAATCCTTATACAGTCGTGGCCAAAATATTTGTATGCTGTTCTATATCGATATTATTCTTTACATGCATGGAGTAGTTATTGAGTAAATGCATGAATAGTAACAGAGAAGTTAGCGTATTGT